CTTCGATCCGATCCGAAATTAATAAAATATTATTTTTTAAAATGTAAAATATTATTTTTTAAATATAAATATTTAAAAATATAATTATATAAATATATATAATTAAATAATTAATTAAAAAATAATTTTTTATATAATGTCGAGTCGGGTCGGATTTTAGGCATACTCGAACCCGACCCGACCCGATCCTAAACCCGAAATTTAAAAAAAAAACCCGACCCCATAGGATCGGGTCGAAACCCGTTGGGGACGGGTTTGATTGCCGTCCCTACTCATGATCACGAATAACCGTCCTAGCCCCTGCAATACCAGGGTTAACCCTCGACGAGCCATTTGTTAAGCCAAAAGTCTTAATCCAATTCACATTAACAGAAGCATAATTAAATAATGAATCTATCATACAAGAGATAATAATTTAAAGTGATTCGGTGCAATCGACTTACATCCATGGATGAGAAATAAAATCTATTAGTGGTAAAGAATTACAAACAAATATCAAATCAAATCAAGCACTCATAACTAATACTCATAGACCCTCTTAATCTCCTCTAGTCCCGTAGATTATTTTCAACCCAAACAAACATATCCCATATGCACCATTTTAACACAAATAAACACATACTCATATGTACCTATTCATCATACCTATATGAATCTTTTAAGTCTTCTTTAGTCCACTCTCACGCACCATATAAATATACACACCTATAAGATATAAATTTTCCATAATCTGTTTATCCATAAAACTATACAACTCTATTACATTTTTCTCTCATATCTAACCATGTAGATACTTCATCTATTTATAAACATACAAACTTGCCTTTAAAAATACTTTTTTCTCTTAAAATTCTTCTTTTACAAGCCTTCTTGTCCATCAAGTAATATCTAACCAATCCCAAACAAATTTGTTATGGGATTTAAGTCATTATTTATAGCAATCTCTACATTGACTTAAATTTCATCAAATATCTATTTTCATGGTAAACATGCTTGGTTCCACCTCTAATAGAAGTTTCACAATCATTTTCTTTTATGTGTTTTCACACTTCACACAAATCAATCTATCAAAGTATGAACTCGAACTCTTCTCTTGAATCGAGCTCTTCGAGACTTGTCTCTTCTTTCCATAGCTTAAACTATCAGCTTTTTTCATGTTTCGAACCTTTAGCTCTGATACTACTTGTTAGGGATCACTACGGCTCTGATACCACTTGTTAAGTGAAAATCCTCATATCCAATCATATCAGTGGAAGTGAAATCAAATAATCAAATAATCAAATACAAGAGATAATAATTTAACGTGGTTCGATCCAACCGACCTACGTCCACGGATGAGAAACAATATTCATTAGTTGTAAAGAATTACAAACAAATATAAAATTAAATCAAACACTCATAATTAATACTCATAGATCCTCTCAATCTCTTCTAGTCCTATAGAATATTCTCAACCCAAATAAATATATTCCAAGTGCACCATTTCAACACAAAAAAATGGATACTCATATGTACCAATTTATCATATTTGTGTGACTCTCTCAGTTTTTTTTAGTTCACTCCTATGCACCATATAAATATACATACTCATAAGAAGTAAATCTCAAATAGTTTTATGAGGTATCTATCATATAAAATCCTACAACTTTATTTTATCTTTTTCTCATACCTAACTTTATAAAGACTTCACTTATTTATAAATTTACAAACTTGCCTATTAAAAATCTTTTTCCTTTTAAAAATATTCTTCTGTAAGTCAAACTTGTCTTTTAATAATCTCTCTTCTCTTAAAATTTTTTTTTCTACAAGTCTTTTTGTTCATCAAATAATATCTAACCAATCTCAAATAAATTTATTATGAAATTTAAGTCATTATTTCTAACATCATTAATATTCAATTTTAACAAACCTACCTATGACGGCTTTCATTTAACAGGGATGAAAGACAGTTTTTGAGTGACACTCAGGTTGGTTCACTGCATAAAACTCCCCGACGTTATTTCTAGCTCTCCCTAACACACCATTCCTCTCCCTAAGTCCTTTAAAGATGCTATGATTTCTCTCCAACCATAGCTCCCATAGGACAGACAAACAGAATATCCCAAGGAATACCCTTATGGTACCTACAAGTTCCTCCAATGGCGTTTCTTTTGATCCAGTCCTTCATCTCTCTCTGTTGGTAGAGAATCTCGTTTCCCCTCTCCTGGATATTCTTCCAGATATCTTTAACCCAATAGCAATCTCGCAGCAGTTGTTCCAAGTCCTCTGGGTGTTGTCCACAAAAAACACATTCCTTAGGAACCTGTACACCTTTATGGGCCAAGAGTTTCCTCATCGGCAAGATCCCATGGATGCATTTCCAAACAAAGAATTGAAGTTTACGAGGACTTTGAGGTGCCATATCCACTGCCAGTCCATATTACCAGTTTCACCTTTGATTCCCTTTGCCAGATCATAAGCCGACTTTAGCGTAAATATGCCACTCTTTGAGGCCGTCCAAATGATTTTATCAGGATCATGTCCCATCATCTGCTCAGGCACCACCCTTATTGAATCCATAATGTCATGAGAAAGGGTGAAGGAAATGGGCATATCCTACTGACAAACTAAGGCCTCCTGACATTGCTTTACTTTGATATGCTCTTCGTTTAAATTGAGAGGGCCTTGGATGTGGGCCTTTGATCTGCTTTGATCTGCTGTTGAATATTTTGGTAGCCGTTTGAACCAGACAGTTTTTTACCCGTAAGCAAGCTGGTAGGATTACCCTCCACTTTCGTACTCGAGTTGCCAAGCATAGGTTTTTCGACCGAGGCAGTCCTATCATATTGCAGGGTGAAGGGGATTCTCAGACTAGTACATTCCATCGAGGTCCCATCTTTTATCCTTAATTTCTCATATGTCTTATCATCATGCCTGGCAAGGACATCCTTTTCATTTTTCTACTGACGGGGACTTACCGAGGTTTGCATTGACTTTGAGCAGGCCCTTTTCCTTTCCTGTCAACCGCTCCGTTCCTTCATAAATGGTAATCTGACCATGGGCGTTTCCAAGCACTTTGGCTTGATTATCCATTTTGTCATCAAAATTTCCCTGACACTTAGTCACTCCAACCCTTTTCTCTTTATCTTTTTTCGGTTCTCATCCTTTCAAGTCTCAACTGCTGGCCCCTTCTTGGGCTTGATTTACCTGGGCAGTTATTGCCTTCTAGTTCTTAACACCTCCTTTGGGTCTTTCTTACTCATATGATTTCGATGCTTTCTTCTCTGGATCACCATCCGAGGTCCAAAACCTTCCTGTGGTTTGTCATCGGCCATCATCTGGGAGTATTTCCCCTTGTTTTGACTTATTTCTACATTGCTCCAGACTTCCTACTTCTGAACGTCCTGCTAACCTAATCTCTGGACAAAAATCTTTGCGATGACCAAGCCTCCCACAGTGAAAGCATAAAGATCCCAGACTCTCGTACACTATAGCTTGTCTTCTCCCTTCAACTTTAATGAACTTTGGCAATGGTTTTTCCAAACTTAGTTGAACGCATATCCTAGCATATCTACCCCATTCTTCTGCTAACGTATGGCCATTTACTCTTAGAAGAGTACCTATATTTCTGCCAATCTTGTTCAAAATACCAACATCAAAATATTCCACAGGCAATTTGGGTAATCTGAGCCACACTGCATCAGAGGAAAAGGTTGCTTGCGACGCTCTAAAATTTGGTTCTCATTTACGGATTGTGAGGAAATGCCCTCCAATGAACCAAGGACCTACTTTAAAAACAAAATTGAAATATTCATTATTATGAAATTAGGAGGAAGTAGTCGTGACCCAGGTCAACAATAGTAGGATTCTCCTGGAGTTTCCACATTTGGTTTATTTTGAGTGATAGATATTTATAACCTACCATTTTCCCAAAAACTTTAACAATGATGGAGGGAGCCCACCGCTCCCTCACCCTTCTTAGTTCCTCCGCGTTCAATTTAACATTGATTTCTCCATCTTCATTTGCCTCAGGTTCCTCCTTCTGTTCCTCCTCCAGATCTGTCTCCTTCTTCGAGTCCAACTCCATCTCCTCATTTGAGCTTCCTACGGCCACAGTAAAGTCTCCATATCCTCCTCCCAGCAGCGAGTCCCTCTACGAAACTCTAGCACGAACGTCTTCCATAGAGTGTCCATTACAAAAGTTGAGGGAACTTTCTCTGATATCTTTCTTTTTCTTCGTGCTACGGCGAAGTTCCGCTTCTTCTTCCTTAGAGAGAGCTTCCTTAATCTCACTCATCCTAACTTTTTCCGTCCTCAGTCCCCATTGCTTTTCTCTTCTATAGTTAGCTGTATTTTCTCGAAACAAAGAGTTTTGAGCTGGCAGGAAAGAAGCGTTTAATTTTGTTGTAACTTTTCATTGTGATTGTGATTTATGGAGCTGTTGATGATGCTGAGAGAGACTATATGACTGTGATGGAATACAAATTCCTGTTTAACTGCTTTAAAACTCACTTTAATTTTCTTGGAGGGGTAGGATTGAGTTGAAGATGCTGAACTGATTTTTGATAGACAAGTAGTTGAGGTGAATTCAGGGAAAGAAATCCTGCCACTTGCAATTCAATGATGTCATGTCATGCATTCAAAATAAGCAATACAAGGTTAAGTAGGCTATAAATGAAGTCAGCTGCAATTTGCATCAGCACATGCAACCCTTTCATTATTTTTGATTTTCTTGTCTTCCTTTGCTGAGTTTTTTAGGGCACTCTTTCTCTTTAATTAAAATTGTGTGTTCTACACTAAATAACTTGGGCATAATGTTTTTTATTCCTTAAAACTAGTGGCTTGGATACCTTGGCAACATAGTGCTAATTCTAAATTAAGATTTGCATATCGAAAAATGAAATTTCAGATTTTGACTTGTCATTTTGTATGGCTTGCCTGGCTGTGAATCATTAGGCATATTTTGTCAGTGACACTTGTCTTGCATTTGTCAATGTAGAATGAGTTCTAAAGGCTTATTCTTTGTCAAAATACGCTTTATACAGAAAACAAAAAATGGTTCAAATGTCTGATGACAATGGTTAACATGATAACAGGTGTTTACTGTTGCTTTTGCGATTGGTACCAAAAGTACTGTTGATTGTTGTCTCTAACAGCTAGACCAGGACTCTATTTAAGGTTGTTTTGGGGCTGCTCTCTCTTCCATAAGCTAAAAGTATGCTGCTTTTCTGCTTTCAGTCACTGCATACCTAAGTCAAGTGGTCTAATGAACACATGGATAAAGGTTTGTTACTTGTGGTTTGTGATTGTAATTAATAATGGTGATTAACAGCGGTTACTATGAACTCAGGTGGCTCGGCAACCTGCTGGGAATTTGGATAAATTGATGCAGGCATCAATTCTGAACATTCTGAACATTGTGTCATTTTTCTTTTTTCTTTTTCTCCTTTTGGGTACTGCTTCAACTTTTAAAGCAATGAACTCCTGAAGAGTTTTACATTTGGCAGTGGTGTATCTACACATGGATTTTCTTTGCGCTTAATGCAGAAGAAGAAACGTCTGATCAGAAGAATTTTTAATTATGATGTTAAGTCCAGTTTTCGCTTTCGATTTTAAGCCATGGCTTTGGTTTAGAGGTTGGAGTAATTAATTATGTGAGCCTCTCCTTACCGATGCATTTTGCATAATTGGATGGCACTTTGCAAGAAATGGATATGCAAGACAGAGTAAATTAATTCTTTTATTTTTTAATGTCAATGACACTGATACATAGTCAAACAAACAGCGAGTAGTCTGTTGATAGAGTGCTCAAATGATCAAGTTCAGTCGCAACCTCAAATAGAAAAAACAAAAAGACATTGATATGTAACAACTGTGACAGCAAAAGCTCCTCTTTGCTTCTATGAAGGCTAAATATTATTGTGTCCCCTGTCACGGATGAGAAAATGTGTTAAAAGCATTTCATTGAATGCTAAGTATATAGATATACAATATTCGAACTACTTGAACGCGAGCAAAATCTTTGGTCTATCGGAAATTTATACCATAGAGAGCTATCATCCTGGACAGGGGAAAGGAATATTCTGATTTCTGATCATACCTTAACCGGTATTCTTCATCTCTTCTCATTGGTAATTTCGTTCGTCACCAGCTGCATCTGTTTGGATTTGTCTTCGCTATTCTGTTCTAAATCCCATTTGCTTGGTGCTTCTATAATTCCTCTTTTCCTGTATTTGCAGTACAGTCCAAGTTGCAGGATGCCTAAGGGAAGACCAACCAGATTTGGGGACTGCCGTAATTAGAAACTCAGTTAGAAAAACAGAAGCATAGTTTTCTCTTTGTCAGAACAGTCTAAATGTCCATAATCCATAATACAAACCGCAAGAAGGAGATCATGACTCAATAGTCCATAAGCCAGCCAAAGCACACTAGCCAGGAACGAGAAAAAGGATAAGTAGAATGGCATGAATTCCACACTCTTTGTCATGATCACTTGTTTCTGCAATTAGAAAAGGAATTCAATTACAACACTAAAGAGACAAAAGCTGAAGAACTTATTATTATTATTTTTAAGGGGAGATGTGGAGGAAAAAAGGCAGCCTACCACCACCACAAGTGGACTAGCATACATTGCCACGGAGGCCACTAGCCCAACAGTTCCAACAAAAACTTTGCGATGATGATGATCATGGAATACAAAAGCTGAGATTATTGCAGTGATAGAGAACAATAGGATAACGGTTGTCGCTATAACACCTGCCTTAATCTGCACTTTCATCAAGCTACATAATTGTTAATTCCTTCTTTACCCATGACTTTTTCCATGCAAGAATGCACTCATGCATGAAAGGATAAAGACATCAATCTCATTTTTCTTCATGCTGTAGAAGAAAGGAGTCCATGTTCTTTACTCCATTTTCTTCAGCACCACACTCACACACACAAAACTAGCTGGTATTGCATGCATGTAACAAGATAATTAAATTTAAAGCAGGATTAAGAAGCTTGCCTTTTCTCTTGTTTGAGCAAACCAAAGATAAATGAAAATGAAGGATAACTCTAATATGATCCCTAAACCGTTGATGGTAACCACAGGGAAATTTTCCCACCTATAGCTCACAACAGGCAATCCATACCAAGTATAAAGAAGGCAATTTGACAGTGCAACGATGTAAGGAACGCAAGAGAACTCCTCAGTGCTTCTTTTCCTTATCACCCTGGAAAAAGTCAAGCTGGAAAAGTACAAAAACAACAAACATTTGTTTAAGTTGAATGATCATCAAATACCTAAAATCCATCGGCCTCCCTGGAAATGAGATACTACAAGTAAATAGAAGACAAACTATGAAGTGAATAGAATATCGACATTACATTGGTGCTGCATAAAGCAACAAAGAAGATGCATTGCCTGCACCATGCAGATTTTTTTTATATCAGTTAAGTTTTCTGCTAAATATATAAATCCAGAGCAAATACTAAACCATAAAAAATAGTAGTATACCCATGGCCCCAACTGCCAGGCGCAGCCTATCACCCATGATTTTGGCCCTGGACAAGAAATGGTCCTAACTCCTGAGACGGAGAAATAAAATGGTCCAAGAAAAAGTGTACAAAGAAACTATATAATTTAGCATGCCCTGTGGACTGTTTAACAACCTTCAGGGCATATAAATACAGGGGAGATGTTGAATTTCTTTTCAGAAAAAGAATAGGAATAATAGAGATTGAGAAAAGAACAACAAAAACGCGTCTACGTCTTACAGAAGCTTGTGGATGCCAATAGCTTACTCTAATATGGAGCTTTTGTCACAATTCTTTTAATAAAAAAAGATTTCCTCCAATTATTTTGTTAGGTTTATATTTTGCTGTTCTGGTTCCTTTGTGAGTACGAGATGTCACTAGCTAGCATTTCCATCACACACTTCGATACAAATTTCTCAGCACCAATTTTGTTAGGGACATTTTTTGTCCAAAGATTAAAATAATTTTTTTTCTTTCTTTAGAAATATTCAGTAGACAATAAAGAATATTTCTAATTTTTTAGTTGAATTAACATATCAAGTCGATCTAAATTCATGAAATTACGATAGCTCGATCATCTCATTAATCTATCCATTAAACTTCTCAAAATGCTAACTTATCACCCCTAATTAAGTGATCATATTGCAACTCAACTCAGTCTATTATATTATCCTCGATCCTAGAGCTGATATTGGGTAACTTAGATTGCCCAAAAATTTCCTATCTCACAGGTATCAATATTTATACCATTTAAGTACCATTTCATCACCTTATTTTTCTTATACTTTCCTACAATCTCTTTTTTTTTTTTTTTTTTTTTTTTTCTTGATGGATCTTTAATTTGAGTATCAAAGCTTAAACACTATGAACACTCTCTACCTTTATCTTCAATGACTTTCTTTCTCTTTCTTCTGTTTTCAGGAACAATTAACTCAGCACCAACAAGTTGTTTGGCCATTTACCATAAATCCTATATGTATACATGGTATAACTGGCAAAAATAATTAATAAAAAAAAATTAAATAAATGGTTTTGAGACCACTCATAAACATGCATGTCTTTAAATTTAATTTTTTATATAACCTATTATTCAATTTAATTGTTTCATGTAATTACATTTAAGAAATAACAGTTAACATGTCTATAATTTAAATCTCAAATATCTGTAATATTTTTATATTGTGACATCTTTTATAACAAAAATAATTTCCTTTGCGGAACGTAGAAATCTGAAATCCTTTAAGCAATACCACATTTTGGTTTTGTGGTAGATGATATGGACTAATTCATAAATTCATTATCCATTTTTGAATAATAGAGTAGCAAAACTATGAAACCATGCTGCATTAACATGCAAATCCTAAAAATTATTTTGCATAATTAAAAAAAAATCAAATTGAAGTAATTAATTAAGTCAAAACAATGCAAACATGCCTGGTATAGTGAGGAAAACACACCTAGTCACGGTTAGCAAATACTGAAGCAGATCAACTTAAGTTATTTTTTTGAACTTTGTAAATTAAAAAAAAAAAAAAAAAACTTTCATGCCACTTTTATAGGTAAAAGCAATAGTTTTTTTAAAATAATAAAATGTCAATTACCTTGATGAACATAACACTGGTTGTAGATAGGTCTCCAACTCATTTTTATGAGAACGCAAAGGAAGGCCAGGATAATAGAAAAATACAATAAGAAATTATCTTATTCGTTGAATAAATTATTAATTAGTTAAAAAAAGAATAATGTTAAAGGGATAAAAAAGGTTAAAAAGAATAATCCTGAAGGGATAAGAGAAGTTAAATAAACAAATTTATTTGATTGAAAGAATATAGCAATTGTTCTGTTACCTTAAAAAATCTTCAAGAAAAACGTCCATCTCTTGTACCAAAAAAATAAATGACCTTCAATGTTATGATCATATTACATATAATTATTATATTATAATAATTAATTATAGTTTAAAATTATATAAGATTTTTCAAAATATTTTATGAAGCTTACCTTATAAATAATGTATTTTTACATAGTTTTGATTATAATTAGATAATTATAAAATTATAATAAAAAAATTACAGATAAAATATTCCAATAAAAAATATTAGTTGAATAGTACTGTAAATGTTGCATACTAAAAGGTTTAAAGTTTTCATTTTGGTTAAAAAAAAAAGTATAATAGGATACTACTATAATTAATCTCATTATTCATGGTTCCCCACTTCCAGTTTTACTAAGACAGTCAACTTTCCTCCTTTATTTTATTGCTTCCCCTCAGTTAATTTTATGCTTCAATTTGCCTAATGTAGGAACAAAAGCAGTTCTCAATTCTAAGAGAATCTAGTTTTATTGAAATAACAAGTCGAAAGACCCAAGTGATCAAATATCTGTTGGTCATTAATGGCTACCAATAAAAACCAATCCCATTAGAACAAACAATTTTGGCCCTAAAATGATCTGTATCCATACAAAACAAGGAATATAGAAAGTTAGCGTTATTCCGATTCTCAGACATCAAAATGGTTCTTAGAACAAGAGATCAGCAGCATTCTTTTTTATGATCAGGATCATTCTCTTGATATGATATTAGCAGAGAGGTATTCTTTTGAAGGAAAACCAACAAGAAATTTATTCCAAACGACCCCTCACAGTACCGTGGCTCTTGGAGAGGTTTATGCCTCAGTCAATTTGATCTTATCTACAAAGTGAAGATCCTTTTTGCTCCCAATATTAATTAATTTTTATTATGATGGTGATCTCACCTCCTTTTGATTGGTTGTCTTCCATTTTTTATTCTTTGTTGCTTCTAATATTAATCGTTTAAAATTACATATACTCAACCCAAGATAGGGTTTCTGATGCTTTATTGTGTCGTATATTGTTCTGGTGCTTGAAACTTCTACAGTAATCGAAACCAACCATATTTTGATTTGCTACTATTGTAAAAAACCAAGATTACATATTCAAGTCTAGATTTGTGTTGCGCCTATTGTATTTGTATTTGGCATATATCCTATGAATATGAAAATCAAAATCCTTACTATACATAAAAATTAAAAAAAAAAAAATTAAATGTACTTGTATTTATATCCAACATTCATTCTCGATTTAGAGTAAACATAGTAGGTTTAGCCACTAATTTTGAGTTTGAATAAATAAAAGATAAAGAAAAGTGATTAACATTTTATTATCATCAACTAATTATTAATCAGATTATCAAGTTCTAAACAGATAAGAAAAAAAGTAATGCAATGAATTAATTAATGTTTTGGTTTCTAAAGAAAAAATATTTAGTATAAGAGTAAAAATATGAAGGTTTTGATAAAGGAATTCGTATTATTTGGACTGTTCATAAAAATTCCACAACTCAGAATTTGCAATAGATCCATGTGATCTTGAACGCAACATTCATTCGATTTACATGTAAATGATGAAAATGAAGCTCAAGAATTTAGAATATATTCCTATGCTATAAATATAACTTATAATTTCAAGGATGATGTCAAATTGAAGTTCTTAAATTCCTTTCCTGCAAATTGTTCTGTGATTTTTGGAAATGCTGTATGATTGGTCACAATCAATTATAAAACACAGCATCCTCCAAGGTAATTTAATTAACCTAATCACTTTATTTTTTGATAAAATGTGAAATCCAAATTGTTACACATCTCCCTCTTTTTAACCCCAAATCTTTCTCAACTTCTAAAACCTGAAGAACGTGTTTGGTTCAGAGAAATTGATAAATTTTTTCTTGGAATTTTGATGGTAGATATTTGATTCCTACGTTTTGTTTAAATTAATTTGATTACAGGGGGGATGTAATATTTTTAATAGTATTCAAAGTCTCAGAATCAGAAACTCATCTCTTCTTGTGATATTCTAGAATTTCAAGGAAAAAAGTTACATTATTTTCACTTTTAACTTGAATAAAAAATTATCATAAAACCGTTATCTTTTTGAAAAATATGTCTGAAAGTGACTGGAACTCATCTAATAGAATTTTGTTAGTGGCATTTTAATTTTATTCTTTTTATATTGCATAGAAACGCTTTAATTGATACACAAACACCTTAACTGATCATCAATTTGCAGGAAACGCCTTAATTGATCATCAATTTAAGGTATTTTTTTCATGTCAAATGCTTTAATTGATAATTTATTAAAAATATTTTGTTTTGCTTTCAAAGATCGTGTTATGACATAAATGATTTTCAGTCATAGTATAATAAAGATTGAAGTATCCATCAATTAAGGTGTTTGTATGGAAAAATGCCTTAACTAGTTATCAATTAAGGTGTTTCTTCATACAAATGCCTTAATTGCTTCATATTAAAATTTTTTTCCCTTTTGAAAATCGTGTTCTAACAATATGAATATTGTAATGTCTAATCGTGAAGCAGAAGAGCCTATATTTTATAGATCAAATAAGGCATTTGTATATACAAAATACCTTATTTGATGTCTTCATCATGTTTCAATGCCTAATACGTTTTTATTTAGCTAATGAAATGTTCAGCTATTGATTGCAACCCGGGGATAAGAACATTATAGAAATGTTTTGTATGTTATAATATTTGCTTAATGATTTTTATTGTATGTACCACATGGTTGAATGTAGAATTTGCTTTATATCAATTTTGAATATATGTTTACATTATATTTTTTTACTCTTGAGTATCCAATGTATATTTCAATTTGGAATACACACTTCTTTGTTTTCTTTTCAAGTGTATTTGTTTATTTCATTCCTTGGTGAGTTTTTGATTTACTATATTGATATTGTTGCATAATATCTAATTATGTGAATAGAAATTGAACATGTCTTCATCACATACTAATCCATCGCAATCCATTCAAGGCCTACCCAAAAAAAGAAATGAAAGTTTGGACATAGGTAACCCATTAATAGACTCAAGATGAGGATTTCTACCTAGTTCAATGCCTATGTTCTTTGGCTAAATATCCTAAATGGAAGATGGATAATGAGACATTCCGCGTCGAATATCTAGGTTATATTGAACGAATGCTAAAGCAATTCATTCCTACTTTACAACTTAAAGTCACCCCTCACATCGAATCTAGGGTTAAGCTACTCAAGAGACAATACC